TCAAAATACATGATTTTCTTTCAACTTTCATAAAAACTCAAATTCCCCCTTTTAAGTCCGAAATACGTCATATGACATCCGTTTTTAGCCAAACTTTACAGATAGTGCTTAAAGCATATTTAAGACTCGTACTGGGCGTCGGAACCAAAATACGAGCCCGATACCACAGTTTTCTGATCAATTTTCTTCTTCATTTTCCTTAGTTAATTTCAGAAAATAATTTCACACAAAAATTCATTTCTCGGGCTTGGGACCTCGGAATTTAATTCCNTCATAAAAACTCAAATTCCCCCTTTTAAGTCCGAAATACGTCATATGACATCCGTTTTTAGCCAAACTTTACAGATAGTGCTTAAAGCATATTTAAGACTCGTACTGGGCGTCGGAACCAAAATACGAGCCCGATACCACAGTTTTCTGATCAATTTTCTTCTTCATTTTCCTTAGTTAATTTCAGAAAATAATTTCACACAAAAATTCATTTCTCGGGCTTGGGACCTCGGAATTTGATTCCGAGTACACGCCCAAGTCCCATATTTTTCTACGGACCCTCCGAGACCGTCGAATCACAGGTCCGGGTCCGTTTACCTAAAATATTGACTGAAGTCAATATTATGCATATTAATATCAAAATTCATCAAATTTTTCACAAAATTCGCATATTCTAACATAAAAACTTTCCGGCTATGCGCCCGAACTATGCACGCAAATCGAGGCAACTAAAAGCGAGGTTTTCAGGGCCTCGGAAGCACGGAACTAGGAAGAATTATGGTAATGACCCAAAGGGTCATCACATTATTATTTACATACTAGCCCCTAGGTGATTAGTATAAATAGGAGGCATTCATTTGTAATTCATCAACCAAGCAAAACAATCAAGTTCTCTCTAATACAAAAACTTCTTTTGGCAATTCTCATGTGTTCTAAGATTCCTTAGAGATCTTGAGTGTAGTAAGGCTGACTTGGCATAACAAGAACGTGAGCAGGGTGTGCAAGATCGTGAGCGAGTTGTCAAGTGTCGCACGTGTACTTAGTTAACAACTAAGGACGTTACACAAAGCTACATAATTATGTATGAATCGAATAATTTTTGCTTAGATTTTACATTTGTATTAAAAAATCTATTAACCAGTATATAAATAGTTAATTACGAATTTAGTAACTAAACAAAGTTATAAGTTCGATCAGATTTAATAACAAATTCAGAACACATAAATTTTAAATATTCTCTTAAACCTACAGGGTCATGTCTCAAACATGGTTTTATGTGCTTCCACGACAGGAATTGTGTTCCATAGTGTTTCATGTTAATGTTGTCCTTTGTGCATGGGCTGACTAGGAATACGACTGAATGCACATGTTATACCATCTTCAACCCTAATCTGTCCACCCCTCAGATTATAAAGAAAATTGAAACAGAGAAAAGCTCAAGGAGATATTCACTTGATCTAGTAACTAGTAACCCATAAGTTGCTACAGTGAAAGTGAGTATTCAATTTTTGCATCATAAATAATTGAAACTTTTTCAGATTAAAACATTTCTTTAAGTTGGATGGACTAAAAATAAATAAATTTTAGTTTGGCCTTTGTGATCATCTCATTTAAAGTTGAAACAAATAAATATGCCACATATTTATTTATTTTATTATGTTTTCAATTCGTCCCCACAGGTTTAACTCTTTTCCTAGTTCAAATACGTGAGTATTTTTTTTCTTTATGTAATGTGTGACAATGTAATAGAAACGAAAGAGATTGTAATGCAGAATTTTGTTGTGTATTTCATTCATACTGTCTACAATTATTTATACAAGGCAAAAGGAATAAAATCTGTTAAGCTAGGTACATGTGTCCTTTCACTATTTGTCTATGTCTAACTGCCTAAAAGAATCCTAAGAAAGAATATAGAGTAATTAATATGTACACATATTTACCTATACACTACATCCGGTAAAAGAACCTTCTAGATTTCTAATACTTTCTTTCATACTTTTACTCAAATGGACGGCCCCGATTTGTTTTTCATTTGAAGAAAATAAACGCACAAGATTGACTTTTAGCTTTGGATCTCTGAAGACAAAGTGGTCCTGTCTTTGGACATATCGACATTTGAGTGTACCCATCTTCTTCACCAAAATTCTCTATGCACTGAGCTTGTGGAATTCCAACGCCAATACCCCTCTTCAAGTTGGATGGGGACAAAGTTAAGCCCAACTTGCCGATGATAGAGCGGTGAATTGGACCGGACAAGGGTTTTGTGAAAATATCGGCAACCTGTTAATGGGAAGGGACAAAAAATAAAGAAATGATTCCCGCCTGAAATTGTTGGCGAACAAAATGGCAATCAAGTTCCACGTGCTTCGTACATTTGTGGAATACTGGATTTTTGGCAATATGAATCGCAACTTCGCTATCGGAATGAAGCTGAACCGACAGAAAGGGTAAAATAGAGAGATCTTCGAACAATCGAACTAACCAGGTAGCTTTTGCGACCACTCGTCTCATGGATCTGTACTCTGCTTCAGTAGAGGACAAAGAAACTAAAGGTTGTTTCTTTGATTTCTAGGAGACCCGCGAACCCCCAAGGATAATGTAGAATCCACTAATAGATCGATGAGTATCAGGACATTGTCCCCAGTCGGAGTCACAGAAAGCAAGAAGGCGAAGTGATGGATTAGGGTTGAGCAAAAGACCCATTGCAGGATTTGAGAGAAGATAACGCAGATAGTGAAAAGCTGCGCTTCAAGTGAGGTTGGCGTGGAGACTACATAAATTGGCTCAGATATTTCACGGCGATGGACAGATCAGGCCGCGTGTCAGTGAGGAAGTTCAACTTTTTTAGAAGTCATTGATAGAAGGTTGGGTCTAGAATCAAATCGCCAGTGTGAAGGCTGAGTCTTTGAGTGGGATCAATGGGCGATGCAGTGGCCTTGAGGTCAAGAACCCCAAATTCAGTCAATAGTTCTGAGGTAAATCTCTTTTGAGTCAAAATGAAACCTTTTTCTTCACGAATGATTTCCATGCCTAGGAAATAGTGTGCTTGCCCGATATCTTTGATCTTGAATTCACAATTAAGAAACTCCTTCAAACGATGCTGCTCTAATAAATCATCCCCTGTTATTAGAATGTCATCGACATAAACGGCAATGATAGTAACTTTCCCTGCGGATTTCTTAAAAAATAACAAGTAGTCATTGAGTGAATGAGAATACCATTTAAAATTCAAAGTTGTTGTAAGCCTAACATACCATTGCATTGAGGCTTATCGCAAACCATATAGAGACTTCTTTAAAAGACACACATGATTGGGTGAAGGGAACTGCATCTCGCTGGGAATTTCATAAAAACTTCTTCTTGCAAATCCCTATGCAAAAATGCGTTATTGACATCTAATTGAAATACTTCCCAGTTCTTCTTAACAACAATGGCAAAAAGACACCTGATGGTTGTTATTTTTACAACCGGGGAAAAGGTCTCATTGAAATCTATCCCTTCCCGTTGAATATCTCCTCTAATCACCAAACGTGTTTTGTATCTCTCCAAAAGAACCATCAGATCTATACTTCACTCTATACACCCACTTACACAGTAATGCTTTCTTTCCTGCTGGTAAAAGAACAACTTCCCATCTCTTATTTGCTTCCAAGGCCTCAAATTCTTTGGCCATAGCCTCTTGCCATCTAGGGTGTAAAACTGCTTGGGAATAGGAAGTAGGTTCTGAGGTATATGAAATAGTTTTAAGTAAAGATTGATTTGTTTGAGACAAGGCAGAGAAAAGCAATCTAGTGGGTTGAATGGAAGTGGCAAAACATGAAGCAGTAAGGTCTGTTAAAATCAATGGGTTGCAAACATAATCAGAAAGATATGGTGGGGGTAATGTGTGGTCTATTAGATCTCCTAAGTTCAAGTGCTGGAGGTGGAATAGGAGAGCGGGGAAAAGGAATAGGATTAGGAGAGGGTGAATGCGGGATAGGAGAAGAAGAGGAAGGGGAAGAATTAGAGGGAGAAGTGGAATGAATCATAGGAGAAGAAGCAATAGGAACTGAGGAGGAAACATTCTGAGTATCAGAATGTGATGAAAGCTCCTTATAGATACAATCAGTAGGTTGTGTTGATGAAGAAGGGAAAATGGTCTGATTCCCTGTAACAGAGATGAATGGGAAGATAGTTCCATGGAACTTGACATTCCTAGAAACAAAGATCTTCATGGTCTGGAGGTTTAGGAGCTTGTATCCTTTCTTTCCTACTGGATATACTACAAATACATAAGGCACAGATCTTGGATCAAGCTTTGATCTGTGAGGAGTTAGTGTGCAGGCATAGACAAGGCAACCAAAAACTCTTAGTGGGTGATATGAGGGCGGTACACTAAATAGGACTTCATAAGGAGATTTTAGATTAAGAACCTTAGAAGGAAATCTATTAATGAGATGGGTAGCAGTTAATAGACATTCTCCCCAAAAAGAAATAGGAAGTCTGGACTGGAATAAAAGTGCCATGCATGTTTTCAAAAGGTGCTTGTGTTTTCTTTAAACAATCCCATTTTGTTGTGGGATGTGAACACAACTAATTTGATGTATTATCCCTTGAGAAGAAAGAAATGCTGAATTTTCTAATCCACTCCCAAGTTCCGAGGCATTATCTGATCTTATGATTTTGACCTTCTTTCCAAATTGTCTTTCCACCACGGCAAGAAATTATTTTAAAAGGGTAAAATCATTAGACTTAGTACTAAGAAGATAAGTCCAAGTTCCCCTACTAAAGTCATCAACAATTATGAGAAAATACCTAAAACCATCATGAGTGGGTTCTTTATAGGGTCCCCAAGTGTCAATGTGAATTAATTCAAAAATTTCCTTTGTTGATGTGGTAGTAGATTGGAAATGTAACTTTACTTGTCTAGCTTTGGCACATATCTAATAATGTTTGATTAAATTATCTGAAGTAGAACAAGAAATAGAAGAGATATTTCTCATATTTGAATAAGGCAAATGCCCTAACCTTAAGTGCCATAGGCTTACATCATTTGAAAATGAAGAACAACATGAAATTGAAACTAAAGACTTAACACTATCCCTAACATACTTAGAGAGAACTGGACAGTAGTCCTTCTTAGAAGCTGAAAAAATTGGACAATAGTCCTTTTTGGAATCAATCAAACTGCTACTAGGCTTGATGGTGTGGAGTAAATAAATCCCTTGTTTCTCTTTACCAAGAACCACTGGCCTCTTCATTGAAGGGGCCTGTAAAATTGCACCAATAGAATGAAAAATGAGTAGACAATTAACATGCTGGCAAAGTTTGTGAACTGATAGAAGGTTACACTTGAAAGTAGGAACGAAAAGAACATTAATCAGAGTGAGATCAGGAAGAACTTGTACATTTTCTACCTGAGTGACCCTAACCCTTTGTGAGTTAGGAAGATTAACAAACACTGGCTTGACTAAGGTTCTAATATTGAATAGAAGATTAAGATCACATGTCATGTGTTCAGATGCTCCTGAGTCTAAGATCTAAATAACATTGTTAGCAATTTTTGAGAAAGAGTGTTTAGGTATACCTACACAATTTGCAGTCACATTCACTTCTGAGCTGATGTCTCCTTGTGGTGTGAATTTAGCTTGTTGAAGCAGCTGACATAGAGTGTGATATTGATCTTGAGTGAATCCTTTCTCCAAACCATAGATTGACTGTTCAGAATTAGGATCTGTTGTGGCTGCTGCATATCCCTAGACACCTCCTTGAAACCTTTTGTTTTAGTGAATTTAAAATCTGCAGGAAATCCAATGATTCTGTATCATTTCTCTACTGAATGTCCAGGCTTCTTACAATACGAACATACCACTGTGTTTCTCTTTCCCTCAAAACTTCATCTCTTATTTGCTTGAGTATACTTCTGACCTCCATATTGCTGCTTTGTGGCCAAGAAAGCAAAGTCAAGAGGATGCTGTACAACCTGGATTTCTTTCTGTTTCTCTTCCTAGATCAAGAGTGAGTAAGCATGATTGATGCTGGGAAGAGGTGTGGTCATGAGGATATTGCACTTCACTCCTGAATAAGCATCGTTTAGCCCCATCAGGAACTGAATAAGCCTCCCATCATGCTAAAATCTTAGAGCTCTGCTCTTTCCTCCACATGAGCATTCACAACTACAGTGAGTACATGTATCAAAGCTGTCTAACTCATCCCAGATTTTCTTAAACTTTGTGTAATAACCAGCAGTATTAGAACTTCCCTGAACTAAATCGCTAAGTTCTTTTTGCAGCTGATAAAGCAAATCTCCATTGCTTTGACCAAATCTATCTTCCAACTCTTTTCAAATTTCCCTAGCAGTTTTAGAGTAAAGGACATTCTCAGCAATCTGCTTCGAAAGGGAGTTGAGCAGCCATGATATTACCATATAATTGCATCGATTCCATGCCTTGAAAGAGGGTGAATCTGCAGGTGGCTCTGTGATCATTGCATCTATGAACCCAACATTGCTTTTAGCCGAGAGAGCTATGACTACTACCCTACGCCATCCTCCATAGCCCTTTCCATCAAAAATGGAATTGACAAGAATCATCCCAGGTGAATCTGAAGGACGAAGGTAAAAGAGAGCTATCATTTGAGATAGTGATTTGAGGGGATTAGACTGTTGAAGGACTTCCAGTAGGCAGTGTAGCAGAGGAATCATCAGTGACTTCCATTGAAGAAGACTAAGAAGAAGACTTGAGCAACAGGATAGGATCTAGAACTTTTGCTCTAATACCATAAAAGAAACAAAAGAGATTGTAATGCAGAATTTTGTTGTGTATTTCATTCATACTGTCTACAATTATTTATACAAGGCAAAAGGAATAAAATCTATTATGCTTGGTACAAGTGTCCTATCACTATTTGTCTATCTCTAACTGCCCAAAAGAATCCTAAGAAAGAATATAGAGTAATTAATATGTACACATATTAACCTATACACTACATACGGTAAAAGAACCTTCTAGATTTATAATACTTTATATCATACTTCTACTTAAATGGACAACCCAGATTTGTTTTTCATTTGAAGCAAATAAATGGACATGATTGACTTTTAGCTTTGGATCTCTGAAGACAATGTGGTCCTGTCTTTGAACATATCGACATTTGAGTGTAACCCATCTTCTTCATCAAAATTCTCTGTGCGCTGAGCTTGTGGAATTCCGAGGCCAATACAATGAGACTTGAACAATGATCTTTGTCTGCTCTGATATCATATCCAATATCTTGAACTTTTAGCCAAAGAGATTTAATAATTTTATTCCAATTTTTACCATAACATATTCCTTAAATTTGAACGTCAAGGTTTGTCCATAAACGTTTGGTCTCTCTTGATCGTATGTTGACGAACAAAAACATTATTTGAGCTCATTTTATCATCAACTTGATTTTCCACGCCTACGAAGAGTTAAATGGCTTTCACACACTCTAATTTCCTTGAACTCTTAAACTAGAAAGCTTATATGAAACCAAGAAATTTATTGTTTGACGGGGACAAAGGGGTATAAGACAGTAGGATCGGAGAAACATTTGCTACTTGTTAGTTGAGGGAGGGAGATATGTGTAAAGGGAAGGAGAGAGTTGCGTAGAATATCTTTGTGGAGGAGTACAAAACTGAAGTTATATTTCGTAATAGCTTAGAGTCGTTGAGCAAAAAAAAAAAGGAGACTTCAAGAAGAAAAGCACAAGCTTTGCAAACTTGATAGAAGTATGTATTATGTTGAATGGGAAATTAAATGAAAGTTATTCAGATCTTATGCCGAATCCAAGGAATGTTTTAAGTTGAATAGACTCAATAATTTAGCCTCACGATTCTTAATTGGGTGGTTCCTATGATGTGTACAGGAATGTAATAGCCTGTTTGGCCAAACTTTTTTTTTTGCCAAAAGTATTTTTTTTGGCCAAGCACGTGAGAATAGAAATTAGCCAAAAGGTAAAGGACAGAAAGCATGCCTATGTTAAGGTGGGGCCTAAAATGGCTGCAAGAAGCCATAAGGCATGCCAATATATAGCAGCAGTTTTCTTCTTTAATGGAGGCGGAAAAAGACAGAGATATTGGAAATTGATTTAGAAGACGAGACAAATGATAGTATATTGGAATATATAAGACAGACAAAGTTAAATGGTGGAAAGGTAGCAAATTAATTATAATGAGACATAACTTCATTTGATTATTCGAGGAAAAAGAAGGGACATAATGTCGGAAGCCACACACATTCGGAAATTCTTCCTAATGTCTTCCACTTCTGGCTACTGCTTCCTCCCATATTTCTTCTATATGCGGAGAATGGAAAAGACTCCATTAATAGGAAATTAAGCACTAGTAGTTCACTTAGGCATTATTTGTTCATCTAAATTAGCATTCACGTTTCAGTCGTTAAATGTAGTATTTTGTTTTCTAGATCTGGATTTTGTTTATTCAAATTTTAATTAATAAATGCTTTATTTTTTTTATACAAAAATCACTTAATGATTTTAAATATTCTTGAAAAACTAAAACATATTACTAAAATGCTATTAAGTCAATGACTATTGTAAATAAAGCATTTCAGCACCACCCCATCCAATCCCCCTATTTGACCCAAAAGATATTAAAATCTTTTTTGATTTAATCAATTAAAAAAGATGAAGAGGTAAATCTTAGTCAAACACAATAAACTTCAGATCTATAAGCAAATCAGAAAATAAAGCATAAGATGAAATAGGGGCGATCAATCTTATTGAGGCTTTTCATTTTTACTCTCTTTAATCGATGAAGATGACTGTTTTACATATTCCATGGAATATTGCTTTGTCTTCTTTTTTCTAAGAAGATTACAGAGGAGAGAAAAGAGAAAGAGAAGAGGTCCACCTTCTCTAGGATGGTTCCCCCCTTATATATAGTTATGGAATCTTTACTATGTTCTTGGGTCAACACACTTTCATACCACGTCCGCTTTCATCGTTCCCTGAATGTTATTTTTTGACTTGGAAGATATTGTGAGTACGAGATTTGGAGCAAACCATGTCGTTTCCACTATCTCACTGCTTGGACGGAATCTCGATTGGGTCAACCGTAGCGGTCAGATTTTGACCAATATAGTTAGTCCCTCCGTCTGCCAGGGTCGTCCCTTTTCGGGCCTGGCAGACAGATTATGATTGTTACATATCTGAGAAATATCTGACTACCTACCCCTTGGGTATGATCCTTAGGTTCAAGTAATGTAAAGATGTCTTTTCGATATCCTTGGACCGTTGCAGCCGTTTTGGAAATGTAACATCATTTAACTTGAAACGTTGTTCGTGATTGCCGCCATTATGATGCACGTTCCCGGGGGATTGAACCGTTTCATGCCCTATCAAATTCGATTGGCGACTCTTGGGTTTCGTGCTTGGGGTATTTATATCTCTTATAAATAGAAGGAATGCATCATTCAATTGACACACTTCTTTTCCTTTTACTTGAAAGAACTTTGCGAATCTTCTTTTCTCCTGATACTTCGAATTTTTAATCTTCTCCGGTTAGCTAAGAACTTTCATCTTTCCTTTTCTTTATCCCTTTGCTTTATCAAATTGACATAAATGGCTAGTGATTCTTCTCGCGCTGACCTCGTTGTCATAATTCCGGCGCTGAAAAGCGATGTTATAGCCACTGGAGGAGAAGAAGTGGTAGAAGATGAGGAGGTCCTATCGGTGGTTGAGATCTTGCCTCGCCCTGGGAATGCATGGAATGATTTCCACAGTCCCGCCGGGGAGGAGCCGGAACCTGCTCCCTCTATTATAAATGAAGAGGGGATCGCAGAATTGAAGGCTAGGTCCATCCCTCGCTACGTCGAAATACTACCGGCAGTGGGGAACGACATAGTCCACTTCGACCACCCAGGTTATTGCGCATTCGATGCCTACCCCTTTATTGTTGGATACATGCTTCCTCTCCCTCTCTTGTTGGTAGATTTTTGTCGCTTTTACGAGGTATGCCCAGCTCAACTTTTGTCATATCTGTATAAATTGTTCCTCATGCTGCTCAAGTTTGCGGAGCTTACCGGTCGTGATATCACTTTGGGGCACATGCTCAATATCTATTTGGCGAAGGCCCTTGGCCTTTAAGGGTGTTATTTAGAACTTTCATCAAAATATTAACACGTCATTGTTCGATTGAGGTCGAACTCTTCTTTTTTGCGAAGGCACTTGGCCTTTGAGGGCGTTATTTTATACTTTCGTCGAAATATTAATCTGTCGTTGTTCGATCAAGGTCAAACTCATCTTTTTCGCGAAGGCCCTTGGCCTTTAAGGGTGTTATTTCAAACTTTTGTCGAAATATTAACCCGTCGTTGTTCGATCAAGGTCGAACTCTTCTTTTTGGCACAGGCCCTTGGCCTTTAAGGGTGTTATTTCGAACTTTCGTCGAAATATTAACACGTCATTGTTCGATCGAGGTCAAACTCTTTTTTTTGCGGAGGCACTTGGCCTTTGAGGGTGTTATTTCATACTTTCATTGAAATATTAATCCGTCGTTGTTCGATCAAGGTCAAACTCTTCTTTTTCGCGAAGGCCCTTGGCCTTCAAGGGTGTTATTTAGAACTTTTGTCGAAATATTAACCCGTCGTTTTTCGATCGAGGTCGAACTCTTCTTTTTGGCGAAAGCCCTTGTCCTTTAAGGGTGTTATTTCGAACTTTCGTCGAAATATTAACTCGTCGTTGTTCGATCGAGGTCGAACTCTTCTTTTTGGCGAAAGCCCTTGTCCTTTAAGGGTGTTATTTCGAACTTTCGTCGAAATATTAACTCGTCGTTGTTCGATCGAGGTCGAACATTACTTTTTGGCGAAGACCCTTGGCCTTTAAGGGTGTTATTTAGAACTTTTGTCGAAATATTAACCCGTCGTTGTTCGATCGAGGTCGAACTCTTCATTTTGGCGAAGGCCCTTGACCTTTAAGGGTGTTATTTTGAACTTTCATCGAAACATTAACCCCTCGTTATTCGTTCGAGGTCGAACTCTTCTTTCCGGTGAAGGCCCTTGGCCTTTAAGGGTGATATTTTGAACTTTAATCGCAATATTAACCCGTCGTTGATCGATCGAGGTCGAACTCTTCTTTGGCCGAAGGCCCTTGGCCTTTAACGGTGTTATTTCGATCTTTCGTCGAAATATTAACATGTCGTTATTCGATCGAGGGCGAACTCTTCTTTTTGGCGAAGACCCTTGGCCTTTAAGGGTGTTATTTCAAACTTTCGTCGAAATATTAACTCGTCGTTGTTCGATCGAGGTCGAACTTTTCTTTTTGGCGAGGGCCTAGCTTTTAAGGGTGTTATTTCAAACTTTTGTCGAAATATTAACCCGTCGTTGTTCGCTCGAGGTCGAACTCTTCTTTTTGGCGAAGGCCCTTGGCTTTTAAGGGTGTTATTTCGAACTTTCGTCGAAATATTAACACGTCATTGTTCGATCGAGGTTGAACTCTTCTTTTTTGCGAAGGCACTTGGCCTTTGAGGTCGTTATTTCATACTTTCGTCGAAATATTAATCTGTCTTTGTTCGATCAAGGTCAAACTCTTATTTTTCGCGAAGTCCCTTGGCCTTTAAGGGAGTTATTTCGAACTTTTGTCGAAATATTAACCCGTCATTGCTCGATCAAGGTCGAACTCTTCTTTTTGGCGCAGGCCCTTGGCCTTTAAGGGTGTTATTTCGAACTTCTGTCGAAATATTTACCCGTCGTTGGTCGATCGAGGTCGAACTCTTCTTTGTGGCGTAGGCCCTTGGCCTTTAAGGGTGTTATTTTGAACTTTCGTCGTAGTATTTATCCGTCGTTGTTTGATCGAGGTCAAACTCTTCTTTTTGGTGAAGGTCATTGGCCTTTAAGGGTGTTATTTCGAAC